GTGAGTACCAGTAGATGTTTATTTCTGGGAACCCTTTCCCATTTGCCAACCTCATAGGACAGTTATGTCTATTCTCCAAACCAGAAGATTCTCTTCTTGGAGAACAGTTAACTTTGTCAAACAGAAACTGTTAAAGGATGAATTTTACTGGTGTACTTATTAATCAAGGCAAGTGCTGTGATGTAATTTTTTTTCCTTTGTGTCTTGTCTAGTTATCCAGATGCCACACCTGAAGAACTCCAACAAGGGGACAATGTATGCATTATATGTCGTGAAGAAATGACCACAGGCTGTAAAAAATTACCATGCAATCACATATTCCACACAAGCTGCTTACGCTCTTGGTTTCAAAGGCAGCAAACATGTCCAACATGTAGAATGGATGTACTCAGACCTCAGCCCCCACCACAGCCTCAGCAGCCGCCACCCCCACAAGCTCCTCAGCCCCCTTTTGGCTTCCATCCCATGGGGGTTCCTCCTCCGCCTATGGGAATTCCCCCTACTCCAGGGGTACCACCCCAAGGTCTACAAAATGGTAAGAACTTATTGGAAATGAGACTTATTTGTGCCTGTAAAAACTTCATGGTTGTGTTTTGTAAAACTTGCATCCTTCTTCCCTTAACTGATTTTTTTTGTCGTTGTTGTATTTTTTTTTTGCCTGATGTTTGCAGCACATACTTGATTGAGCACCCAAACTACAAGAATTGTACTGGTTGAATCATACAAATAGGCTTTGTAAACCTGCTTCACATCAATCATTGTATCTGTTCCAATCTTTCTCTGAGAAGTGGAATATGTATATACATGGTGCTTCTATCAAGTTTTGCGATTAATTGTTCAAGCTCATTCTCATATAATTTTCTCAACTCATCCCTTATTAACCCCTCAACTCCTAAGATCTGATTGTTAATTCTCCTCTCTTGCTGTTACATATTTATTTGTAAATTAGTTATGAGAATTTGGTGTTAGATCAAGATAACAACTTCTACCTGATAAGTTTGAGAATTCTCAATTCCTGTTTGCTGATAAAATGTATGGATATTATAAGGAGAAGTTACATGTTGATCACTTTTGGGAGATAAAGAGTGAAAGAATATAATTCACATCACTTGATACATGTTAACCCTTTGACCCCTACGAGTGACTAAAGGAGTTCTTGATTGTTAGACAAATTCTCCCTGTCAGCACTTTAGGAAATATATAGAGAACAGTTTGGAGAATATGATAACTGATGTTTGGGTATAAAGGGTTAATGTATTGTTTTTACTCTTAGCTCCTCCAGTCATGTTTCCTGGTTGGCCACCAATGGGTGTTCCTCCATTTCCACCAGGACAACAACCTCCTGTCCCATCACAAGCACCTGCCCCTGGTGTTACTTCTGCTACTGGTTCTAGTAGTCCTCCACAACCAGGTATAAACACAGCCCTTTTGTAATCTTTTTCTTCACATTTTATGGTATAAATCAGATGAGATGCTTTATCCAAGGCTGTCACTAAGTCTTGAAGTAGTTACTATGTTGGAGATATCACCCATAGCAGTGGGATGTGTGACCTGGTGTAATGTAACGGCAATCTATATCATGAACTTAATATATGATATCAAGTGAGCTCAGTTGTAACAGGTGTTATACATAATTGAACATAATACGCATAATACACATTAACACAATCCTATTAACCACCCTGCAGATTTCTTTAAGTTGTTTTGCAAAACCAACACTATATGTCAGCCCCTCAAGGAAGAAAACATATTTCACCCTTTATCAGTAACTGCTATTGAAATGTGGCGGGTCATTCCAGAAACAAATTTCTTTCTAACATTTCATGCAAACTTCTGTGCAGTTATTGATATTTTCATGATGAACAAGCAAGTTTTTAATGTAACTTTGGCATAGATCTCTGGTCTTGCGTGAAGGAATTTTGTGTTTTTGTATTTTTCTGGCAGGTCCAAGTTCAGCTCAGGATGCCAGCCAAACACAGGTGTTGTGCTTTTAACTTCACTATCAATAACTTATATGAGACACAGCTGTGATTTATTTGTTTTAGTCTGTGGAAATAAATTTTATTTGCCAGGTTTCAACTCTTTTTGCATCAGACTCAGTCAATATGTCTTACTGAGTTTTAATTGTAAAGTTCAGGACCCATTTGTTCAAAGGACAGATATTGCTATCTACCGGATAGAGATTTATCTGGTGTTTAGGGTTATCCAGCCTTTGAATGACTGAAGCCAGAATATTTTATTGTTTGGAGTTGCAAGACGAATTTCAAGATTTCTATTTGTTAAGTTTAGTGAAAGGTTGTTGACCAACTACTAAGGAAAAGCATGCCAACTGCTTTTGTCACTCATTGTATGCTTGTGGATCTCTGATTTAAATCACACATCATTAGCTTCTGAGTTTTTTAGTTGAACCACAGGCAAAAGGAATTATGAAAGACTTAAAGACAGACACTTAAGCTGTGTTTCCTTTCTGTTCTCAGTTATTTTTTATTTTCTCTTCTTCAGATGCCAGGATTTGGGATGCCTCCACCATTTATGTTTCCTCCACCTTTCATGATGCCACCTTTCATGTTTGGTAAGTTGTCAGGGTTTATTTGCTCAATGAAATACGATGCAATTGCTTTTATATGAGAAGAATTTTGATTAGTTCTACCTTATGATCTAATGGATAGTAGACCCATAGATGATGTCACAATAGAAATCATTTTCATTTTTATCATACAGTGCAAATTTATAGATTTGATGTTGCCAATGTTGTGTTCAGTTATGGATCACAGAAGACATCAAAAATCCTTTAACCATTAAGAATGACCGACAGTTAATTTCTCCTTGCAGTATTAGCCTTAAATCAAATGTAAAGGCTGTAAGAATAAAGGAAATGCTTATCAATTTAAGAAGCTCATGATTATCAAGCAAATTCTCCTAGTCAATGCCATAAGAAATCTATAGAAAACAGTATGGAGAATCTGCACCCTGATGTTAGGATGTACAGGGTTAAATGGGTGTGTGTGTGATTTTTTTCCTCATTAGGTGATCTCAGCATGCCTCCCAACATGGACTTTTCATCTCTAAATATTGAACAGCTGGTAGCTGTTGAAGGTCAGGAAAGACAGAATGTGGAAGCAAGAATAAACATGTTACGGACTGTACATGCCCTGCTGGATGCTGCCATAGTGCAGCTTAATCAATACACTCAGATGGTAAATGTGCAGAGGTAAGTTAAGTAAATGAAAGCTCACGTAAAGCAATGATTCATGTGTGTGTGCTGGAATTTATGCAATTTCAGCGAAGAAACCAAAAATAAAATCAGGCTTCAACAGGGTTCAAACTCCTGCTTCCCAGATACTATTTGGCAGGTACACGTCAGGAGCAAGGCACAGTTTAGAGGGTTCTTCAATCCTGTAGAGGAATCCATATCATTAAAATTGTGATTAAATTAATGTTCTTGATCAATTTTTAAATGGTCCTTAAGGGAAAGCTGCAATCCACTTTATGATTGGTTCTTTCCTGAAAAGGAATCTGATCACATTTTCTTTCGTTTAAAATTATTATTGAATTAGTGTTCTAGGTCAATTTTTAAATGATCCTGGTGGGAAAACTTCATTCCACTTTGTGGTTGGTTCAGAAAGTCAGAGCTTTTTGCTCAACCAGTGGGATGCAAAGCTCAAACTAACCACAAGTTGGTAACCCACAGAGCGGAAAAGAGGGAGGCCTGGTACGGAGTCTACCTACTCCACCACTACCTTTGTTCCGTTTACAATCGCGCGTCGTTTTACTGACTGAACACAGTAATTCCCCTCACGTGACTACCTCGAGGCAGACTAGCTTCCTTGCCTGCCACAAACAGTAGACCCATTTGCTAAATCACCTCCGACTTTTCTTTGCTTCTCACACTGCGTATTTGTCTTTCAGACAACCGCCCTTAAATGTTCCTCAGCCGTCGACCTCAGCGGGACCCTCAGGATATGGGACCGCGGAAGCAGGTCCCTCGGGATTAGGAACGACAGAAAATGGTCCCTCGGAATTGGGGTCAGGAGGCGCACAATCTTCGGTACTCGGCGGAACGACAAAGACAGCGGGAACGAATACATTCTTATCCGCTGGGAAGTCATCTTCACCTACACCTGGACCTTCCGCAGAGTCTGATTCTTCAGCTTCTGAATACTCGGCGGCAAAAGCCGCAGTTTCAACAGATAAAGACATTTCGCAAACAGAACTGAACTCAAATGACGAGAACTCTGAAATAAGGCGGCGTAGACTGGAGCGCTTTTCGAGCACCACGAATCAAGACAGTGGTGATAAGGAGCACGAGAACTGATAATGTATATTGCTGTTAGACACGGATAGTTTTCAGGAATCTTAATGAATATGGACATGCCACCTTCGAACAAAGCAGTGAGCAGTGACTCTTAATGTAAAATCTTATTTAAAGTTTTTAGTTTCAGACCGGTGAATGAAATGAGTTCCCAAGCTTCTTCGGTGTCGGGAAGAATGAGACAGATTCCAAGGAAATGTTTCTTGTAAAGGACAACAAACAAACACATAGGACATCTTTCTTGAGAAAGGCAACATCCAAGAGAAGGAAATCTAGAAAAATTAAATTTAATTGAAATAACTATTAGTTTTTCAGGGATATTTTTCATATTTCTAAACCCATATGGAATATATAAAACAACAAGGTGTGGAAATTGATTTCCTGGCTAGTAAATGTCTGCTAAGAGGCTTTGAGGACCTTTGAAGTAAGACATATTGAAGTTTATATGAAACTGTGGGCGAGTGTAGCTTAAAAATTTCGCTGTCGGTATCAAAATAGCCTAAAGTTAATATTTGAAAATGATTGTGATAAAATAGAGAGGAAGACTTAAAAACATACTCTGTCGGTTGAGGCCCGATTTTGATCGCTCTCTCGGATCCAGTCTTCCTTCCCGTGTGATCGAAAACATTTTAGTAAACAAAAAGCGAGCAAGCCCAAAAGACGCGTTCAGTAACGTTAAAAAAAGCATATAGTTTATTTCCGTTCATTTGTTTACAAGGACACATCACAATTTGAAACTCAGTTGAATAACATCACTTTCAGCCAAAATAGATTTTCCCATATCTGAACGACAAACTGATCAAATAATACTAGCAGATTCGTGATGACTTGATTTGTTATAAGGAAAATGAATTTTGTTGTTTAGAACAAGGATATCTACGGATTGAAATGACAAAAACTATTATCACTAGCACAAATAATTTATATCGGTTTATTGTACATGATGAATTTAACGGTCACAAGGTTATTTCACGGACTGATTCGAGCGATAGTCTCAGGACGAAGGGCTAACTCTTGAAACGTCGGCTTCAAAAATTCTGTACGGTGGCTAATTTACATCATCATGTCAGTAGATAAAAGAAAATTGTCGACCTCCTTCCGACGCCGCAGCACAGTTGGAAACTTACCCCCTTTATTTTACTGAGGAAGTTGATTAACAAATCGTGAAACTCGCATATCTCAAGTAAGATTCCGCTTTGGCTGATTGAGAGCCTTTTTAGAGAGAAAAAAACATCAACTATGACTCGGAGTAGGTATTCGAAAGAGGAGGAAGTTTACTCTAATAGTGTCACTCGCTTGATTGATGATTCTTCCTTAGTAACCGTTCACGGAAGCTGTATCAAAATGTGACATGAAGAAGCTCTAACAGCGGAATTTGTTTGTAGTAGTAACCAGAACTTATTTCATTCGTTTAAGTTTTCTCCATCTTCTTGTTCGATACCATAATTATTCCTTTTTATCGAAAGTTTTCTCCTTTACAGGGTTGAAATTTTGATCACTCTTGCACGCAGCTTGTAATTCGGTTACATCATCATTACCGTCATCCGCTTTACGAACTAGACGGATACGCTAAAAATATCACCAACGAGTTCAAAAAACAGGTTCAGTTGTTGACACCAGTCCAACAAAAGCTTGTCATGCTTTCCCCAGTGTCTATAAGTTACGTTGCCGGCAAGTTGCTAAGGCTCTGATCTTAAAGATATCTTAAGGATAAGGCTTGGGATAAATTCTTTCCTACGAATCAAATCACTTGCAAACAAGCGAAAAGGTAAGCAAGATAAGAACGGTCATAACCCCGGGCCGCGCTAACCACGGCGAGCGTTGATGCAGTTTATACGGTTTCACAGCTCACATGTTTGTTTCTTAATATTACATCACGCCGAAAAAATAATACCGTCGCAATTGGATTTATGCTCACCGCTTTTTGAACAACCAGCTCGCGTATTAAACGAAGAGCGATAGTTTTTGGAGAGAAAGCAGTATGTTGATCTCTCGTGCCCCAAGAAAATCGGCAGATCGCAAGAAAAAAATATTTAAAAGAAGCATCTACTTGTCAACTTAATAATTACGAATGCACAATATCTTCTTTAAATTTGGATACCTTAATAAATCAAAAAAACCATTGCTGACAAAGCCATACAAAAGAAGGAAAATTAATTGACCATTGCTAAATTCCTGTTGTCAGGTATTCGAAGTAAATTCTTTCGCCAGCCACGGTTTCTTTGAGGGCAATTCAAACATTTGTGTAAAAGCAGAGAGTAGTTTTTCGAGATGGTTCTCCTTTAGCATTGCTCTCAAAAAAAAAGTGGCGCTTACCACGAAAAACTGAAATAATCAACTTGAGCTTCTTTCATTTGTGAATAGCGGACTCTTCCGGCAGAGTAATTTGAAAAATCATTTGTTGTCATAAGGATTAAATGAATACGGTAAAAAATTAGTTAATCAACAGGTGAATTGAGGTGAATCTGTAGTCTTAGATCTTCATATTTGGAGGTAAAAAGTCTCCAGCTTTCTTAGTTTCCAACAAAATAAAAACACGTACCATGAAGATTGAGAAAAATAGGTGCGATATTAAATGAAATGCACAAACAATCAAAGTGCTTGTGCTGACGTGGCGAAACGATTACGTGGCCAAGTAATTACTTCGATCAGAATTCTTACCAGACTTGTTCGGGATTCGAAGGAGTAGAAACATATTTTAAAAAAATTAAACTATACGAGTTAAAAGAAAACTTTGTGAATGTCACTAAGGATAAGTGAAACACCACATCGTTTTAAGTGCTAAGTAAAAAAAAATAAATATGGAGGAAAGAGAGGATAATTTAAGGCTTTCATTTCACTTTTGAGGGCTTATAGTACAGAGAGCATAGGGTCTTGCTTTTTCGTGAATAACCAAAGAAGTGAATGAGGTTTGATTAATTCAGTTTCAGTCGAAATAGTGCAACTGAGAATTTTATTCAATTCAAAAAATAAGAGGAAGGAACTAGCTGTATCTGGATACTAGTGTACGTTAAGTCCTTCGTTTTACTAGGAAAACGAGAATGGCAAATGTTCAAATTTACCTCAATAAACAAGGATTTAAGGACTTCATTTGGGGGAAACAGGGAGCAGGTAATTATTTCTTCCGGAAAATTGAAAGAATGAGACCCAGATAAAGATAAATCTTTTCAAGGAATACGGAAAATAAGGGGTTTGCCTAGAAGAAAAAAAAAGTCATTCGAGTTAGTTTGTATAGGGAATGGATGGATTGCAATGATTCCTTTCAGCTAACAGAGGCAGAGAGACATTTTTTGACCCTTTTATGGACTGAAACATTTTGATCCTGAAAACTCTTCCTGTAAAACAAAGGACAATTGCAATTTTTTCAACATATTTGTATAAACCAGGATTACTAAATGACAGTCATAGCAGAATGCCTGATTTAAACTTTCCTTTAGGTTCAAATTACAAGCAAAGATGTCTCGTTTTTTGGTGATATTTCTCCTTGCTGTGATATCAAGTGGTTCAGGTGCGTTAATGTTTCTCTTGGTCAGTTTCAATAGTGTTTACACCCTAACATCAAACACACTGAAAATGATCCCCAATTGAAGAAGCTCTTGATTGTAAACAAATTCTTCCTGTATGAACCTTAGGAAATGTATAGAGAACAGTATGGAGAATATGCATCTTGATGCTAAGGTGTTATGGTTTAGTCAGAATATAAGAGCTTATAAGATTTCTTTAAGACCTTCAGAAAAGAAGTTCAGCCGAGCATTTGTTTTTACGGAACCTCTTTTGTATTTTTAGAGGGAAGTTTCTTTCGTCGAGTTTGTGAACATCAGCGGATGAGGATAAATTGCGGCTCGAAGGTCATCAACATCGTAAGCGCTACTTACGGACGCACCCGGAGAGGAATTTGTGGATTTAGAAATAATAGAAACACCAATTGTCATGCTGGAACATCCATGATGGTCGCTAAATATGAGTGTCAAGGACAGTCAAAGTGCACATTGCACGCTAAAAACTCAGCCTTTGGAGACCCGTGCGTGGGCACTTTCAAATATCTGGAAGTAGGTCACAACTTGTATTTTCAAAAAATTACCTTAAATATATA